GGGAATTTACAGGTTTTCACGAGATGGGCTGAACTAGCTTTGCTAAGTACCATTTGGTGCTCCCACCGAGCCGAAATGCGCCAGTAAAAATTAAAGCTACCTGTTCAATCCGTCCTCAGCCGCCTTCATCTTCTCCAATGCAGCGAGAGTCGCTCGCCGCCGTTCCTTCATCTCGGCTTTTCTATAAAAGCTTGTCAAAAACTCAAATATTTTTTGCTTGTAGAATGTATCTCACCTGGTCTCAGCCTTTTCCACCGTCTTCACTGCTCATGCTTTCTCTGCGAGCAGTTTCGACAGCTCGTTCCGCTCGCTCCACCTCCTTATCAAGCGACTCTACGTCGCCTACCGTACACCACTCGCCTTCCAACTTCTCGATTTAGGTCTTCTTCAGCTTTAGACGTCGATGTCGACGCCGGTTCGTCTTCCTGAAAAGTCTGCCCCGAAATTCTGAGGGCGCGAAATAAATGAAGGAATAAACCCTACCTCCGTCATAGTGCTCAATCGTTTTCGGACAATGTCCAATCCTTTCTTAAGGATCGCTTTTTTCAACGGATCTTTCTCAATAAAAGATAAATTGTTGTCCTGAAAACGAGAGTCATAGCTGGGGCACCTATCGTAATCACTCCACAGAGGACCCAATCACTTACCTGAAGTTGAAGTTGTTGGTTTAATTTCACTAGCCGTTTTCGCGCGGTCTTCCTTTGTAAGCTTTATCATGTCGGACAGGACTCTGTAACTAAGTTGTATGATAACTATGAAACACATCATGTAGACTTTTCAACAGGAAGGGGCTAAATAGCGCGTTTTGGATTTGGATAAGCCGTGAACACGACTCCACGAAGATTTTGCCGCTACGTAGTTTTTCTGGGAAATTTTTACTTTTTTGGTCAAAAAAACGTGTGATTTATTTCCGATTTTCGGGTTCAAAAAGCTAATCCACAACTGAATCGTAGCAGTTTCAGAGCATCGCCAAGTACGGTCTTTAGTTTTGGATGGCACCAGAAAGCAGCTACGGCGTGAAGTGCACTAGGAAATGACAGTGGACTCGCCCGGGATTGTAGCATTTATAGGCCAGGTCAAAAATCCAGGCACAACGCAATGCCTCTTCCAACCACTATTTGACCCAAAGGCACCATTCACGAATTCCAAATTGGCGAAGTAACAATACCATTGTGTTTTCCCTTTTCTTCAGCCCATGAGAACGAAAGGTGCACGAATAAGGAGGGCACAGTGGTCATGAGACCCCGCCCACTTGATTATCGCAAAATCTGTATTAAGCCCCCTTTGTAACTCACTTATCACAGCCTTCGATCCACTGCTCGATTCCTTTGGCCACTAACGACTCTTCATCGTTTTCGTCATGTCCGGTCAGCACGTTCATAGCCTCGCTGATTTTCGTCACTATTCGGGCCCATCCCTGAAATTTTGAGAAAAAATAGAAAGACGATCATAATGTAACTTCCAATTATCAGAACTGGAGTACTGTATCGTAAGAGCGTGCGGCTGCGGCGTGGTAACGTAAACAGTCTTCTTCGCTGTGGCTGCTGGGCGTGTAAAGGAAGCATGGTTTGAGGTGGCGCCAACCCGTTCCAGAGTAACTGTGGGAGCTGACAAGCTAGCACAATGGATGAAGTACGGACAAGCGTCGCGCCAAATCAAGCCCCCTCCCTCTAATACACCTCAGCATCCGCAGCATGCAAGACTACATGTGGTGCAGTAATTTAACGCAGCGGCCTGGACTCCCATGAATTTTCTCTTGAAGGCAAAGGAACACGATTGCTGGAAGCGAGCGGTTGTTGCCAGAGTCATTGGCAGAAGAGCTGCGAGAGGGCGTTTGACCACACTCCACGCAGCCCTTCCACCAATGACGGTGGCGACAACTACCCCCCCCCCAGCCATCGTGCCCACTGCCTTTGAAGCGATGCGTTTGTCACGCTGATCGCTATATTTCGGGCGCGACCGGCCTGATCGTTTCTTAATGGCCAGTGCCATGCCACCAATAGCTAAATGTACCGATAAAGAGTTGTAGCTTAATCTATTCCAGGCTTTCTATGCTGTAATTTAACCCGCCAGCAATGCTGTGGGTTGTTTTTCTAGACCCTAGAAACACCACAGGAACAAGTTTCAGGACATGCGTGGGACCTCCCCGCCCGCACGTCCAATGTGAGCGTGAAGTAGTTTCCTCCTCCTCTCGCACGCGCCCTTACACAACCTCTGTCTGAAACGGTAGAGAAAAAAGGATAGCGGGACAAAGTCTGTCGTCAGCGGTCATCCCCCCTTGGAGGAAAGCATGCGCGGCGCAGGTTCGGCGACGTGGGGATGGGGAAGGGGAGCGGCAAATTTTTTGCACTTTACTTGCTCACTACCGTTCCAGGTTTACAATTCCACTCCGTGGTGAATACCTGTGAATTCTGTGAAGCCAGAGGCAAGGTCGTCAAGGCCATCACGGTAAACGGCGCCCAAACTCGAGAAGAGGCTTCCTAAATGGGTCGACACGTCGATGGGTTGTAGGCAAAGTGCACATGCCCCCCCCGTCGCCGAACTGCGGAGGCATGCACTCTCATTCAGATTCGTAGTAGCTTATTGAACGCGTGCGGCTAACAATGAGCTGCTGGGGACCGCGCGATATTCTCCCAGTTGAATCTGTTCCCAGTTTACTGTGTAAGGAGAGAATAAGGCTTGGTTGGGCTGGGTGGAAGCCGATCTGGGATTCTATCTCCCAGATCGGCTCCCACCCAGGCCAACCAAGCCTTATTCTCTCCTCTTAGGACCGCTCGCGTGATAAGCAAGCCACTTGCCACTGCACCATTTCAGCCTAGTCAAAGGTAACAATCAAAATTGAGAGTAAGACTTGCCGTAGCGAGTTTTATCCTCATGCTTGACAGGCACTGTACGAATTTCTTTGGTAACTCAAAGACCGGAATACTAGTTCAGAGCACAGAGAAGGTCCTGTTATAGGAGGTGAGCGGTGAATGGAATAGGACAGAGGACGAGGTGTCGGCGAATATTGCCGGAAAACGGTGTAAAAGGGGTGGAGCGCCGCAACAAAAAGGAGGTTTCGTGGTTGTGAATTGAAATTGAAAAGTTGTAAAAATAACCTTTGCGAACTTCTCAAAGGCGTCATTGGCCTTTTTCATTTGTGCTGCAGAAAGATCTGAACTGAGATGCATATGCTCTAATTCCAATTGTAGACGATTCACTTTCGCTTCTTGTTCTTTGATTTGAAGCAATTTTTCCTGACAGATACTGATCATCCTTCGCACCTACAACACAAATATTACCATTTTGAGAAATCAATAAAAGAATGGAAAATAGAAACCTGATCAGGTTTTTTCGAGACAGTGAAGGTGGACGACCACGCACGTAACGGCTCCATTTCAGCCGTGAGTTTTGCCACATGGCGGAGAAAACGATCGACTAACTGAATTTAATTTTGAAATATGAAATCGTCATTCGCAGGTTAAAGTGAAATCCGGGTAGGGGCCAGGGCTAATGAATAAATCGGGGTCGGGGCCCTGACGAATAAATGACGTCAACTTCCAAGGATTTTTGACAATATCGTGGCTCTGAGCCAGGTTGGGTCCTCATGTAGGTAACCATGCGTATGTCACGGCAATGTAAGTCCAAAGGCACATTTCGCGATGATGATCGACGGAACTCAAAACCTCGCCGACCCGTTCCTCCTACTCATCGCTCCTCTGCTCATTTGGGGGCCTTGAAGGGTCATTGTGCTGAGCAAAAGTAGTGGAATGTCAGGGAAATGTGACGGACATAAAATTAATGAAGTAGGAGGGGAAGGCAAAAGATGGAGAGTCATCCAGTCAGTTGATCATCGTAAAGAAACAATGTGAAGCTCGTAGATACGGCGAGACGGGTTTTAAACTCGTTTCTGCATTTTAGACAATTCTAGATTTCCGTTTTTAGATCTTAAGATCTTTGGCGGCGTACAATAGGCATTTGGATGCCTACTTCTAAGGGAGATAAGAACGATAACTCGGCTTACTGGGAGGGCCACCGGGAGTTAAACCAGTGATGAAAGGATACAGTGTCTTACGGGCTGAGGGCGTGTCAACAGAGAAGGGGTCGGCGCTGTGCATGCACCATTTCCCACAATTGTGGTTGCCTTGTTAGCATTCCATAGCGAGTTCAAAGTTGTATCTGAATGGAGGTTACCTACACTAGGGAGGCACTTCGGATGCCCCCCCCCTATCCCAACGATTAATAGCTAGCGAAACTTCCTTTTACTGTTGCGACAAACTTAGAAGTTTATTATGCAGTCGGCGCTGCCGCGTTGCGTCATAGTATCTTCGCTTTTACTCGATTCGCAATGTACGAAATTGGTCCCGAGAGGCTGAGTAACCAATTAGCCAGGAATGCCTAGTACTCCATCGCGCACCCATTAGCCGACTGCTCGTGTAAGGAACCTTACGTCCATTTCACGGGGTTGAGGCGAGAATGGCACAAAATGGAGTCACGTGCGCCAACACCCGCCACAAAGACCTAAATGTTCACCACAAAAAGCTGTCAGGACGTCGATGAGGACATAGTACATTACCCATTCTGATTTCTTGCGCGTTGCGGACGAATAAGCGTCGTATTTATAACGTTCCCTTCCCCCTCCCCCCCCCCTTCAGAGAACAAGCCGCCTCGGAATCAGTTCGGGGTCCCAACACGGCGAGTTTGTGAACGATTGCTGATCGAGTTCTGCTTCTACAACCGATACCCGAAAAAATCAGCGGCACATGTCGTCAACCAATTTATAGCCCAAAAATATCGCTATTATTTGGTGTCATCTGCACTGTCCAGTGTAATGCATTGTAAGATCTCTAAATAAACCAGTTCCACTACCACAGCAGGGACAAGTTACCCAGAAATAAAAGTAAAGTACAACAAAATTCGGAAGTTAGGGAGCAGATGTCCCATCGACGGCGGCGTTATTTCAGTGGAGTAAAAACACTGAGAATGTTCCAGAACTGTCCTTTTTCATCCACAGTGAACTTTTTCAGAACGCAGGAATAGCCAAACTATAATATGTTCTTCTGGTGTAGACGAGATAGTTTTCTTGGTCGTAGAGAGTACTTTGGGTAAAATACCTATCCCTCGGACTGAGCATTCTCCAATTTGTCTTCAGGTTAGCTCCCAATTATGAACTAGGATGTCCCCAAGGCTCTGGATTGGTCGCGGCGTGGTCTGAGCTACACTTTTGCTCTGAATAGATCCTAATGTTACCACGCATAGTACGGTAGCTATATGGCCCTACTCACTTCTTTTTAGCGCTTATGCCACTCGGTGGTCGGCGAGTTCCCTCTTCCGACATGACGGTGCTATTCGCCCGAATGAATATCTGATCGGAGTGTATACCAGTAAATTTTGAGTCTATAGGCATTGTGCACAGCCATCACTCTCCAGGGCCTCCTTTAGCCACTTTGCGGGCACCTCTACTTGGAAATAATAAATGATGATAAATAATCATAGCACATAACAATATGAGAACGCAACAAAACTACGGAATTGATTATAAAAAAAACACAGAAACAGAAAACTTGTAAAAAAAACCGCAAGAAGACTACCTGATTCTTAGCCTCTTCGGCCTCAGCTTCGCTGGTCGTTTCGCTTTCAGCCGCCAATGCTTCAAGTGTAGTCACTTTTAGTGAAGTCTGTAAAAAAACAAACATTTTGCTTATTAAACCCCAATTGTTGGCGGTGGTTGACACATGTGGTGCGGGAATGATGGGTCAGGGGGGAGAGGGTAGAGGGCAGGTTGAATATTTTTATACTTCTGCAGGTTCCTTTTTACTAGTTCATGCTATCTATCAGGTTTCACTTTGGTAAGACCCGAAAGCTCTCGTGAAGCTGTGGAGTGATACAAGTGTGTCACTTTTGTTATGGATCTCACCGGACTTCACAAAGTGGCCTGAGTACCATTTGGTGCCCCCACCTAGCCGAACTCCTCTGACCGTTACTAGCTACTCAAGGGACAGATCTGCTCAAGATAGGAGACGAATTTTCCCCAACTTAGCCTTGCCACAAGCGTTCTTGAACGATGTGGGTTCATAACCATGTAACCTGATAGTGGCAGGCAAGAGCTACGACGCAGTTGCCTCTGACAATGAAATGGGAGCTTTACGTTCGATGCCTAATGAAGCGAATGAGATTGAGGGTGAAGTCGAGTAGGCAAGCTCATAGATTGTGTGTGGGTAGACAGGGACCTTTACACTCCGGACCTGCATCGAGCAATTGAGGGGTTTCTGGGGTAAAAAGCTGCCGCGAGAATCTCCTGCTTCTCACAACCTTGATCTGTGACTTTTACCGCATGACAAATACGCCATCGCATCGTTCTCTTTCCTATGGCCAACGAACTCTTGAGGAATTGAGCTAGGAAGGCGGACTAGTGATAGATTAAGGGTAAATCAGGCAGAGCGGGGAGGTCATCTTGGAGTATCTGGTCAATTCTGCTCATCTGGCTAAAGTAAATGAACGTGAGACAGCTTAAGCCGGTGCTGATAATCATTCCGCGTTGGATCCATTTCTAGGCCGGGGAATTGAAAGCTATGAAGCACATGGCTTCGGAAGGTTTCGTCTAGTCCTATGTTGATCTTCAAGCAAGCCGCTTTTGAAGCAATCGGCAGCAAAGCTGAAGGGAGGGAGGAGGGGGGGGGGGAGAGTTGCTGCCAACATCATGTGGAATAACATTGGTTACAGTTTTCCACGAGTGAGTTTTATCAGCAACCCCCGCCCAACCTTTGGCCCACCATACATTAAGAACAACTCACTTTCAGAAGGAGGTATGCGAAGTGTACCGTGACGTCGCACAAAAGTCGCACAAACAAAGAAAATAAGCCTGCCGATTAAATTAATCAAATTACATAGCACTCACCTCACTGGGTTCACAACCCGCGATCGCTTTGTAACCTTGTTCAACTTCCGGACGAGCTGGCCATGTTCAACATCTGTCCTCAGTTGACGCAAACGTCATGCTTTGCTGGCGCTTGACCAGCTAAAAGATATCGATTGGAAATCTGTGATAAAACCGAAAAATAAATATTGAAAATGAAACAAAGAAAACTGTTGGAAAAGAGCAGTTCTCGCCCGCATTCATCAGTTGATAATCATCATCCTATCAATGGCTGAATAATTCGTAAAGAAAATCGAAGAAGCTCCTTCGAGACTCTTATCCATCAATAATCTGCTCATCTCGCCTAAGCGTCCGGCTTCAAATAAGTCGAGGGCGCGCAAGCTCGAACCCGCGCGGCATTGAAGAGAACACTGACCAAGGGAGCGAAACGCGGTAGTGAAGAGAGTACCATGAGGAAACACTAGGCGCACGCAGTAGAGAACAGGTGAAAAATTGTGAGAGAGTACATACATAGACGTAACGGGTATTTCCGCAGCGCGGGCACTTGCAGTGGCGTACCTCACCTCAAGGAGGCGTGGGCACTTATAAGCTCAAATTTTTTGGTCCCTCCCTGTCCGACACTTTTAGGGTACGAAAACAACATAACTCTGTTGCTGCAGGCTTGCCCGCTTTTCGAACAAAAGCGACTGTACTTCTTAGCTGACTGCGGAGTGTGCCTTCAAATAAAGGGGCATAAGAATGTCCTCCTTTTGCTGGAATTGGACCATAACTGGACGAGGAAAAGAGAAGGGTGAATTTTTCTGCTTTTCATGAGCCTTACTGGTCGTCTGCGGAACGGTAGGAAAGCAAGTGCACGCAAGTAACAGTTGTCGTCAGGAATGGCCCTTAAACTTGCGAGAAACCCGAAATTTCCTCAGTAAGTGTGAAGATTTCTTACCGTTCTGCTGTGTTCCTCGATCCTTGCCACTAGATTATCCCATCGTTGTGTGACGGTGTCAAGACGTCGACGTACTTCGTTTGCGGCAGCACCGTTACTTTTTTCAAGACGAGCCACAAGTTCACAGCTCAACTGCGATAACCGCACAAACGAACCATGCTCGGCTTCCAGAGCTGCCTCAGCACGTTGCAGTTTTCGTACCTGAAAAATGCCATCAGATCAACTCCAATCAACATGAGGATTCTAGACACTTGCTGACTTTCCAGGCGTCAAACAACAGTGTAAGGAAAAGATCTGACCTGTTCGGCGACTTGTTCAGAATCTTCGAGGTGGTGCGCAGATTTCAGTCCCAAAAGCTCCTAAAAATTCACAGTGTTGATGCCGTAACCATGCAAAACTACATGTGATTGGCTTCCATTTTTCAGTGCAATTGCTGCATAACTATAACCATAATTGTTCTGGATCATACAGATGATGGAGCTTGTCAAGGAGGATGGAATGGCACGCCGCCAAGGCGTTTTTTTTGCTTTTTTTTCCTTGTGACAAGACTGTATCCTGTCGTTCATACCAGTCGTTTTCTGCCAATCGTTGTCGCTTACCAGCTTGTCTAGGGAGTGGGGGTATGGCGCGCTACCAGCCCGTTCTCCAAGGCCCCCATCATCCGCGGCGAACAAGACTATAAATACTGTGGACTCCTTGTGGACAAGAACTTCGGTAACCAGCTGCAGTTGCGCAGGGGGAAGGAGGAGTAAGCGGGTGCGAGGCAAGATCCTGCCTGCTTTCTGCTGCGCCCTTCAACAGGAATGCGTTGGGTAAGGTTTGCTCGACGCCGATGAGGAGGCA